ATGGAGCACCTTGCCATAAAGCAAAGGTGATATCTAACTGGCTCAGGGAACAAAACATAGAGATCCCCTGATCTTAATCCCATTGAAAGCTTGTGCTCAATCATCAAGAGACGGTGGACAAATGAAAACCTAGGAGTTCTGACAAAATGCAAGCATTGATTGTGCAAGACTGGACTGCTATCAGTCAGGATTTGGTCCAGAAGTTGATTGAGAGCATGCAAGGGAGAATTGCAAAGGTCCTGAAGAAGAGGGGTCAACACTGCAAATATTGACCTGCTGCATTAAATCATTCTGTCATTAAAAGCTTTTGTTACTCATAATGATTGTAATTGTATTTCTGTATGTGATGACAACATCTGACATACACACGAAAACCAGAGGGCAGCAGATCATGTGAAAATATAATATTTGTGTCATTCTCAATACTTTTGGCCATGACTGTAGAGCTGGGAAAATGTATCTACGCCCTTACTGAATCCTTTGGTGTTTGTGACACTCATTCATGTTGAATCATCAAAAGATTGTTAAAATTAGACAAAGATAACCTAAGAAAAAATAAAAACCTGCTTTCAGCTGTTGAGGTGACTTATTGTAGAAAATAACTAAACTATTTGGTCCATTCTGCTTTAGAGATTTGTTATAAATCAGCTGCGTCGGACGGCTCAGAGGTGGACCTTTGATCAAAAACCAGAAGCCGTTTTTCTTCCTTTCAGGGTTTTTCTGTCAGAGCAGAATGCAGGCGTCCATTAATGTTATCTATTCATCGTAGAGTGGAAGCAGCAAAACAACCCCGGATTATCTCTGAAAACATGGTGGCCTGTTTGTGAAATGGTGAAATCAGGATAATCAGTTTCTTTTCCATCATTAGTTCCAAAAAATCTTTCTCTAAAAGGGCCTACATGAAATCAGATTCCTTGTTGTTTTTTTGTTGATCTAAGTTTTCTTTTTTATTGCCTTGAAGTACACTTAAATACATTTTTTGCAAATGTTTTCTATATTTTAGTCTGACATTCACTAAGGCTAATTAGTGGTCTTGTTAACAATATGGAGGTGCCTGCAGGCATCGGCTACAGACGGCTCCCGACAACTCCACAAAATATGCCGCCTAGAATGCTACAAACTAGGCATCGATCCTACATCTTGCACTGCTATGAACCTTCCACATCAATGCCCTTTGCACCATGTCTCTCCTACACCGTTTACATTATAATCACTGCTACACTTTATAAATAGAAATGTTCATTTCACTCCTAAGCTGCTGCTCGTTCACTCTCCGAGAGCTGCATGTATCAAAACTTCGTTTTGTATACACTCTGTGTATACAAAATTACATAAAGTTTGTGTAAGTCAGTGAAGGCAGCAGAATATATTGTGAATATAGCATCCTCACATTATCAGTGTATGCAATGCTCACATCACACAGGCCTCTTTGGAGTAAACAATCATTGACTAATATATGTAGCTCTTTCGGGCTGTGCCCGGCTGGGCTCCATGGGTAAAAGTCTGGTCACCAGGCGCTTGCCAGCAGAGATGGAGGATCTGGAGTCAACAAGTCATCTCTTTGTCATGTATTTGTTCTGCCCAGCCACTGAACCAGGTGAGTCCAATCTGGTTTAACCTGTGCAGATTGGACTCACCTGGTCAGAACAAATACATGGCATAGAGATGCCTTGTTGATTCCAGATCCCCCATCTCTGCTTGCCAGCTTGCCCCACCTCCAGGCCTGGCTCCAGAGTGGGGCCCCGGTGACCTGCGTCCAGGCGAGGGAACACTAGGTCCATTTGTCTTCCTCATCATAAGAGGTCTTTAGGCTGCTCTTTGTCTGGTCCCTCACCTAGGACCTGTCTGCCTCGGGTGACCTTAGAAGGGGCCCAAAGCCCCCAGACAGCATAGCTCCTATGGTCATTGGGACACTCAAATAGGCTTGTCCCGATCCGATATGTGGATCGGATCGGGACA